TCCCGAGAGAACGACTCCTGCACCCTTGAAACATGTGTAACATGTATAAGAACCCAATGTCCCGGCATGCACCTAACAATAAACACCAACAACATGAAAGCAAATTTACACATCAAAAAGCTGATTACGTTCTCATCTGCTCTTTCAACATTGACTCCCGCGAGAACCCATGTGTCCAAGACAGAAATGCCATGAAGCTGCCATGAAGGCACCCAAACCCACAACCCAGAGCCTTGACAAGACTCGCTATATCACACGATACCTTTTAATTAAGGAATATACCTCAACTTACAGGGGCCTTTATGATTTAATTAAGGAATATACCTCAACTTATAGGGCCTTTATGATTTAAGGTACATTCCTTAATTGAGGAGTATTGGGCTCTCGGGATCCCTCCCGGACCTCACTCTGCCGAGCTTTGAACTGATCGAAGGAAGCTTGGACGTCCCGGTAATCCTGCAGCTCCTGAGGTTTAGGGTTTAGGGTTTAGGGTTTAGGGTTTAGTCCTGAGAAGTTTTGAGGCACTGCGTCCGCAGGCTCCGCTGTTTTGGGGTTTAGGGTCCAGGGTTCCGAGCTGCGGCTTGGGCTTGGGTAGTGCAGGACTATGGGGAGACAGCTGTGAGAAGCATGTTGCAAGAAGAAATGTGGGTCAGGTAGGTGTGACTCAACGAAAGATCGCTATTGAAGTCCTACTTCCTTGCCGATCCTGCTGCGTCGGAGCTAGATTGGATGATATTACTGGCGATGGAATCCGAAAGCCCAGCAGAATCCGATAGCCTGAAATTCAGCACGCTGTCAAGAACCAAAAACGTGCATCGCTGGCGACCATCTTGAACTCATGTACTGTCATGCTGTACAACCCTGAACCCTAAACCCTAAACGCCTAAACCCTAAAAAGATCTCAAGCACATCCAAACCTCGAAACCTTCAGCCGCTGGCTCGAAACCCGATCTCCTGCTCGGAAAGCCCTTGCTGCCTGGCGCCAAGAAGGCCGGCAGCCTCTGCACATGTCATTGGATTCCGCCACACACGAACGAGAAAGCCCCGGAACGCAAAACCGTTCTGAATCTACGGCTTGTGGAAGTGGGGTGTCTAAAACAGAAAAAACAGAAGACAGTGAGTCGTAGTTGATGCTTGGTGTTTAGGGTTTAGGGTTTATGAGGCACATGTGGAAGTACAGGGTTAAGCAAAGCTTACTTTTGGAAGCTGCAACATTGAAATGCATACCCTGCGAAAGCAACTATTGACAGTGGTCCTGGTGCGACTAGAACTAGCATGATGACTGCATGGTGCCATCGACTTACGGAGTAATGCAGCTGACAGTAATGCATGCTGTGGCGGCATCCTAAGCTAGAGCGGCTTCGAAAAAGCGGCTGCTGGACATGAAGTTCTTGATTTGAGAATATCCCGTGGTGTTTAATGTTGTGCGCACTCTTGGATTCAATCGTGGTTGATGCTGTCGTCGCCATTGCTACCTTGCTGTGGTTGCTAGTTACGCTGGGTACAACCGGGTACAATCAATGTTCGCACCTTCCTGTCGCAGGTTACTAGTACGCATCACGCCCTCAGTTTGGCTTCATCGAATGTCTTTGCACTAGACCGGTCGCATCTGATCTATTAGCCTTGGCATTTGGCAGTAGTCTTGCCACGGTCGCTACGTGAATTGCTATTGCTACCAGTCATGCTGGCATGGCAAACCCAAAGCTTCTCAAGGAGGCACCTCGATGCTGTCGGACAACTGCAGCGGAATCGTGTTAAAATTCGCAGGACCTCGGCAGCACCAGCACCAGCAATCAGTTCAGCTTGGCTACCCAGAGAACCCTGTACTCCTTAGTTGAAGAATATGCTGAAAAAACCGATTATGGGGACATGAATACTTCTATTTCAAGTATATTCCTTAATCAAGGGGTAATGTAATGGGTTCTCTGGGGAGCTTTCGTGCGACAACGTCACAGAATAGCGACTGCTCTCAGCTCCACGAACAACTCACTTGCGCGTCCTCAAGATCCGCAAAGCAGTCTACGTTCGACTGAAACATTCGTTATAATCACAACAACCCCGAACCTCGAAATCACATGAAAGGTCCCGGGCTGGTTGGAGGGGAGTCGTCCTCGCGGTCTGCGATGCAGAAGATCTGCGGACCCCTGCAAAGCAATCGAGACTAGCCGTTCTCATTTTGGGTGCTGGACTCGGACTCCACGCTCCACAGGTCGCGCGCGTACACGATAGCGAGATCAAGAGTCGTCACACCCAAGATCCCAAAGTATCCCAGACAAATCCGAGCAAAGGCCACATCCAGTTGTCAAGCGCATCTGTACACCACAGTACTGTGCAAATTAGTACTGGTGTTGGCTCAAAGCACCGACTGAAGACAAGTAAACACAGGACGATTGTCGACGAAGGCCACGCCCACAGAACTACCGGCCATAACAACACCAACCGGAACAGAACGCCTACGACCACCAGCACCACCCACCACTACCCCCACTGCAACGCCAGGAGCCGCGCGCGGATCCGATATTGTCTGGCGACCCCTGCAGTCACGGAAGCTTTAGGTTTAGGGTTTAGGGTTTAGGGCTCTCCCGCCTTCGATTCGCGGGCTTAAACCGTGCAGGCTATGGGACTGTTTTGCTGTCGGGTGTCGAGATGAGGCCGGCAGGTACCAACTCAAGCTGCTTCAGTGCATGCGAGCTTGCTGGTTCAATGGATAGTCTCAACGAACAGAAAGGGAAATAAATGAAGCAATAGGACTTCCCCGGCTCTCAAGTTCCCCGGCTCCCCGATTATGAAGTTAGAAGACCCAGGAACAGCTGTCACCTGATCGTAGTCCTGAACTTTTGCCTTGTCACCCCCAACTTCTGGACCGCCTCTTTCGAAAGCCCCAGCCACATCAGCAACAAAATCTCCGAACTCCGGCAAAGAACAGTATAAGACTAAAACTTTCACTTTCCCTCAAGAAGTTAATCGGCATTCATTATATGTCGTCTTTTCATTGTTTCGTTCTCCTTCTGTTACAACTGACACCAACGAATAAGATTTGCTTTAGGATAGTTGGCACAAGGTACAAACAGGACAACCGGCCGACTTGCATTCGCCGAATCCAACAATCCCAGAGAACAACAAACGAAAGCGGTCGCCTTTCCAGGCTCTCAGAATTCCAAACCTCCCGGCTCTGAAGCCCACCGCCCTCTTGCACGGTTTAGGGTTTAGGGCCGTTTAGGGTTTAGGGTTTAGGGACTTGAAGCTCCAAATTTTCGGAAAAGCTGCTGAATCTGAACAGTCGGAAGCCAGGGAGAATCTGAGGATGCAGCCACCGGGGCCATGCCAGATGTCTCAAGGCGTAGGATGCCATCCTTCCCTGGCCGCACGTTCTTGAGGAATCAGGGTCTAGGGATTCGGGTCCAAGGGGGTGCTCAGATTAAGGATTTCATATATGCCCCGGGTCTAGGAGTTCAGGTGTTGAGGAGTTTAAGACCTGACAGCTGCCGGTGCTTCGGTGTTTCTATGGCCTTCGGCCCTTCGCCACAGCCGGCCCAGAAGTGAGATTCTGGGATCTTCTGGAGCTTTGGGTTGCTTTGGGCCTTTCGTGTGCAGACCTAAAGGGCTTCACGGTGCTGGCTTGGTGCTTGTAGACTTGTGGTCAAGGTGAAACTCGGCTTATGTAAAGCTTCCCAGATGAGGGCTGCCATGGGGATCAGACGGGGTTCGAGTAAAGGTCCAGGCTGTTGGGCTCAGGGCAGCTGTTCGGGAATGCAAGCTACCATTTCAAGGTCACCCCCCCCCCCCCATGCACTACAATGCCGGCTTCCAGGTTGCACTCGCGCGCTCGTGCAACTTGTCACTCTAGTCGTCACGAGCACTTGGCTAGTCTATGCTCGAAGACCTCCTCTTTTCAGCTCTGGCCACGAAGCTTTGCGGGAATCGAGCTCCAGCGCTTTGCTGCCGGGAGATTGGAGGCGTTAACAATGGCTGAGGCCCTTCACTTGCCGACAACGCACCACAACCTGGGGTGTTCTCTGCCTATCTTGCCTGTATGACACAGCATCAAACCTCATGGCACGTCATGCTACGCGATCTGGACAGGTTACATCCTTGTGCATTGATGGCAGGCGGAGGACATGTGCTGTTTCTGCACGATTGTGAAACATGGCGCCGACATGACTTTCTGCGCAGCACCATGTAGCAGGGAGCTGCTGTACATGATTTGCTTGGGGAGAAGCATGTTCGCCCAAGCATACCCAAAATCTCGGCAGACAAGAGCAACCCCAGGTCACTGCCAGAAGCAAGGAGGCCTACATAAAGGTATGTGAGCATGTGCATACCGTCTTCGGCGACATCCTTACTGCACCTAACTACAAAGCCTCCATGTCGACAGCAAAATGCTAGACTAAACGAACAGGTGTTCTGCCTGCGAGCCCCTTTACCCTGCAAATTTCTCTAATGCAGGGCTACATTCAGCCCTAGAGGTGTCCGTGAGTGCGCGAGGAACTGCCTCTGAGAATCCTGCAAGGATCCCGTGCCGGGGGGATTCGTGAGCAGAGACCCGGAAGCGCCCACATGCATGGCTCCGTCGTTACCTAGCTAAGTACTTTATAATGTACTGCTCTCATGTACAAACATATATATATAGAGAGAGAGATACAAATTCTGCATGCATGCATGCACACTTAACTATCAATACTTGCATCTTCTGCTAACTAAAATACATCTCATTACTTCTTACATGTCGTGTATACATGCAGCCAGCGATCTGCTGAAATCTGCATAAAAAACATGCAAGAACCAGTCTCATTCCCAGCCTCTAAAGCGCCCTCACACGAAAACTGAGGGCCGAACCCTGGGGCCTAAACCCTAAAGTCAGGTAGGGGCCTAAATAATTACCTATACCATTTTCGGGGGTACCTTCTTATAATTGTAGTATAACATAACCCGATACCCTATTCTAAGTATTATTAAGGCCCCTATCGTAAACTCCAAACCTTGGAAGCCCGAGGTCAGGCTCAGAGAAACTGGTTCGTTGGCGTTTCCAGCGTGCGCAAGGAGGTCGAGGGGGAGTCTGCAGAGGACGCTCAGGCTTCTAGGCTTCAAGATGGGTAGTTGTCAAAATTATGATCCCTTTTGGGGTACCCTAAATAATAGGTGCCGTATTATACTAAGGACCCAAAAAGCGAGCATAATTTGGACAACCACCCATATGGTTAGGCTTCAATATGGTTACCCCTAACCCTCCAGGTACCTACTATATAGGGCCCTAGGGGCTCTAGTACCCTATATAGTAGGTACCTGGGGGGTTAGGGTACGGTATATAACCGTTCAGTGCGGGAGAGTTTGGGATCTGCGGATTGGGGTTTATAATTTCGGGCTTCAATATTCAATAGGTTTCGAGGCCATCGGAACGTCAGCATCGAATGTTTCCAAGAGTGTAGAGGCTGGTGCAGCTAGTGGTGATGTCTCGGGGTGTCGCAAGGTGCCCCTATGCATCTCCAAGTTTTGCCAAGTACTCATCAGCAAAGACCTGCTTCCACTCAACGTCGTTTCGTCTTCCGGCTACTCGGTGCTCCAACTCAACCCAGTATGTTCTCTCATAGTGAAAGACAAAGACATACAGAAGTAAGACAGCGGCCCGGCGCGACCTGAAGAACTCTAAATGGGACTAACTAAGGTGGAGGGTTTCGAGAAGTGGTTTCGGGTTTCTGCTCGCTCTTGGCATATGACATATTGACACACCGATTACCGCCATATACTCTGCAGGCGCACTGAGAATCAGTTTCCAACTAAGCTACGCCCTGCATATGTTGATGACACCATTGGTGCAGACCAAGATGCGTATCCGCTCCCAAACCATGGAATGTGGTGAGTAGTCCTTGGCTGTTGGAGTCTGATTCGAAAATACAACCGATGAATCAACCGATGACTTCAGCGCTTCATGAGCGCACATGCTTCAAGGTTGGCGCTTGGCATATGTGACTGTCTGGCCATGCTGTCTCAGAACTCTGCTCGATCTGTCTACCTGCTTGCATCCGGCTTGCGGGCGGTGAGCGCTCAGCAGCAGCTGTAATGTGGTTCGCCCCATGGAGACCTTTCTGGCCATGCTCCAGCCCAGCTTCAGCGCAAAACATGCGTACCGAGAAAAGGCACGGGCATGAAAACATACGTGAAGACTCCAACTGACATCTCAGCTTCGCAAAAGTCGGACATCTTTCTGCAATCAAATGCCAAAATGCCAGAGTGCTGACATGAAACGATGCTGTGACACTCGTATACGTCCCAGTAAAACAGTGACTTATGGGCCTTGCTTTCGCAGCCCTCAGCTTAGCACGCATACTTTACAGAAGCAAAACACCCCCGATTCGCAAACAAGGATTGTGCCCTAAGTCCATCGATGCTTTGAGAAGACTGACCAGGAAACCATTATCTCCCAAACATTCCCGAACTCCCTGGCCACCTCGCTCCAGCTTCAGCTGGGCGCGCTGAAGCCGCAACCCGGCCGCGGACTCGAGCGTCCCGCTTGCTCGGCGCAGCGTCTTCGCGGCCTTTGTGTAGGAATTCTGGGTCTCTGGAGGTTGGAAGGGCTCAAGGCTCAAAGCTCTTGCAGCTGATGTTTGGTTCAGGGTGGAGCTGGAGGTGACTCCTTTGCCTATGCGTCAGGGCGTTCTCACTCGCACGAGTTGCCGACACGACTCCGAAACAAACATCCAAAGTCCCCACAATGCAAAACCTTGGACATCTTCCTGAGTATGCACAACCTGTTCGCATCCATCAACACACGTTCTGAGATCTGCTGCACTTCCCTTGGCAAGCACACGCTGTCTTGGTGGACATGTCAGTTAGCTCTCAAAGAAACTGCGAGGACTGTGAGATGATATGGCGAGTGTGTGGGAAGAGACTTTGGCTCGACGGTGCAAACAGACCTTGGCATCGCAACTTTCAATCCCTGAGATCATCGGCCCTAAACCCTAAAGCCCTAAACCCCTAACCCCGAAAAGGTTCCTCGTAGGCTTCGTAGGCCCGTTCGAAGTCACCCAGCCTTGGCTGTCAGAGAAACAGCGGACCGGCCTCCCGAGGCCCTGCTTGGCGGCTGATTTTATGATTAGATGATCTTGCATGATGCTATATGATTTTAGACTGTATACAAGAATACGGTATTAAATTGTGTATTGTGTAATAGATTATATTGTTTTATATGTTGTATGTTATAATACTGCATTATATAAACATGGGCCTCGAAGCCGGAGCCCTGCTCGACGGCACAGCATACTCAAAGACACCAAGCGAGATCATGAGCACATGCGCGCTCATCCGTAAAGACCTCACAATGTACTGAATACAGTGATACATCCTTCCATCCATCAATGTAATGCAATGCAATGCACTGCATTGCTTTGCATTGCCTTAACAAGAGGTTACATTGCATACATATCTGTGTTCATGAAAGCCTATATATAGACATACATACATACATACGCACCTAGCCACATGTATTCTCTCAGTCTGTCTGTCCATCCTTGTTTAGGTGTATATGTATGCACGTATGCATGCATGTAGGTAGGTAGGTAGGTAGGTAGGTAGGCAGGCAGGCAGGCAGGCAGGCAGGCAGGCAGGCAGGAGGGCATGCAGGTAGGTAGGTAGTATAAGTATATGTATGTACACATACCTGTCTTTGTATGTATATAATTATACATATGAGTCGTGGGTCCACGGAAGGCTTGGTAGTTGATTCATCTGAACGATACATGCATGCGCGTTCGCTTCGCGTGCTTACAGACATATGTTTACACAGGGAGCAGCTCACATGCATCGTGAATACAGAAAAGCAATCATGCTTACAGTCACCATCGTCTTAACTTAAAGGATAGTTTTCAGACGGAACTCCGGAGCCCGGAGCTTTTTCCTCTGACCATCTTTTGATCTTAGGCGCTGCTCCAGCGCGAAGCCCATGTTCCACAGCAGCACGGCACCTGGCAAGTCAGAGGCTCCATAGATCCCCTGGTTCAGAAACAAGGGTTTAGGGGTAAGGGTTTCACAGGAAGAAACCCTGGAGGGGCTAGGGTTTGGGATTCTGTTTCACACGCTTGAGGCTTAAGAGTCTAGGGTTTCAAGGGTCTCTGATGAAGTTCTCATTCACAAAGGCTCATGTCACGAATAGTCATAGTCAAGATCGTAACAGGTATTGGGGCAAGTTGGAACCTCTAGGCACATGCACCCTCCAGTCGTGGCTTCACAGGATGTGACTTCAGAGCTCTTGCCTTGCGGCATACCGGACCTCACAGGAACAATCCTTTCACGCCTGGACCAGCCGGACTCCGCGACAACAAACATCTGACATCCTGAGTGTTTGGAGCACCTCTGCTTGCCTGAAAGCAGCCTCCGTACCCATACCTGCCGCCATCTGTTAATACATTTCATCAAATCCCATATCCCGGACCCCTCGAGCATCATCGGGCCTGCCACGGTTTCAAGCGTGCCCGTGACCTTGCGAATACGCCGAGCATGCCAAAAGGCCTCCATGGCCCCTGGGCGAGGCTGGCCAGAGTGCAAACTACAATAAATTGACAAAGGACTTCTTGCAGCCTGTGCATTGCCCTCGAAAGCTACTAGTGAGTCCTAGTGAGCATAAGTGTCCATCGCTTCCTTAACCACGAGCTTTTCGGCTCAGGAAGGCACAAAAGTACAAAATTATTGACGTGGCCACGTGTGGGTGGTGTCAAAGTCAGACAGGGATCCACGGACTTTTAAAAAAGAACTGACGACACCTTGCACTTTGCGTGAGGATGCTCTCTCATGAGGCTGTACCTGACAGCCGGGCTTTTTGGGATGACAGAGGCAAAGGGAATCAGGAGCCTGCCTTTAAGCTGATCATCATCAGCATCATTGCCATCAGCATCATTATCGTCATGTTGCAAACTAGAATCACGACATTGAGTCCGTTCTAGGGGACACCGGCCCGGCATCACCAACAAGCATCACGAGAACCCGGGCCAGCCAAAGCAGTGTTGCTTTAAGCGCCTTCCCAAACCTTTCAATCTCTGGCTCTGCAGAAAGGGTTTAGGGTTTCGGAGCTATGCCAGCTATGCGGTCTCGGCCAAAACCATAACGTCAGTTTTTCGGTGCTTATGTACGAGGCATGCGGCCTTGGTGATCCCCGGCATCACCCTTGGCAACACCCATGTGGGTCAGCAGCGTGGCGATACTTGGCGTGTCCTGCTTGCATGGGAAGCAATTGAGCTCGGCTCGGGTCCTGAAACGCCCCACTAATTCAGGGGGAACCGAAGCCGCCAAAACCACCGCATCAATCCCCCTACAGGTACGCCACTCCAGCATTCCAAAAGCCCAAGAAGGTTGACATCTCTTGTCCTGCTGGCCCGCGCGCTCGAACAGCGAGCCGGCCAACTGGAACACCTGAAGCAGGCGTTTGAGGTATTCAGGGTCTTGAGGCTGGATGGGACCCCTTGGGTGACTGTGCTACTTTTGGACACGAAGTCCCGCAGTCTTGGCCTTGAAAGTCCGTGATCGGCTTCCCCAACCCTCGCCACTCCACAGCTTCCACTCTCCTTCGGGCCCTAGGCAAAAGAAACGGCCTGTGACGATGACCTTTTGAGCTTGTGGGGTCCCCACGCAGAGAGTCGGATTGCCCCCAACCGGAAGCCTCGAGGTTGGTCATGGCTTTGTTGACCTCCAGGCGGCTGGCAGCTGCAGCGCGGTTTGAGCTGGCAGGGAAGATGGACTGCAGAGCCAGCTGTAGCCTGGCAGCGATTGCAAACAAGAAGATGCAAGAATGACCCGACCAAAATGAAAACTAGCAAAAGCAGCTAAGGCCCCAACCCATCTTGAAGAAGTTCCTCGGAAATCCAAGCACAGCTCAGGGCCGAAGACTCAAGCTTGCGCTTGGCATAGCCTTAAAAGCACAAGCGTTCGGGGCTTTGTCGCGCCACAATCCGCAAGCCAAGGACGTTCAGCGAGACAATATAAACAGCAGCCCGTGCACGCCGTTTGCATCGGGAAAAAACAGCTTCGAGAAGATTGTGCTTCTTCCATCAGAAGCCCTTGAAAACGGCTGAAAAGCACATACTGTACTTCATCTGCTCGTATCCCAAAACACTTGCTTTGTGCTGCACAAGATCCGAAACACCTCTGATGAAAAGAAGAATACCGCGAGACTCCTGTGCATAAGCCCGGAGCTCGGAACCCCAAACTTCGGGTTCAAAGGCATATATGTCTGCCGCCATGGTGCTCCGGCTAGCTCGCGAAGTCCAGTCTCCCACAACATCCTCGACATTGGATCAAGTCATGGGGTCGCTAGCCCAATAGTCTATAGCAGCATTTTGACAGTGTCGCTGACGGTCATGACGATGACGATGATGACGATGCCGATGATGTTGTTGTTGATCATGATTGCCATGATTGTGCTGGTCGTGGTGCTGCTTGTGTTGTCGGTGTTGGTGGTGGCCGCGGCTGTGGAGATGGCGGTGGTTACGCGACGAAAGTGATGACCACGGTGATGATGATGATGATGATGATGATGATGATGATGATGACGGCGATAGCGAGCAGGACGAGGAAGTGTCGTCCGAAATCCCTTTAATCGAGGTCATCGTCATCAGCATCCTCACCATCATGATTCATTTTCCGGAGAACAACAAGTTTCGTTGAGGGGCCTTCCTTTAGTACCAGCTCACGATTCGGTCGTGTCGATTGACCATGGTCTTGTAATGGTCAGATGCCTTCAGGAAGCCTGCACCTGTCAACTCTCATCCGACATAGATCCGTCCGCATCGAGACCCCGAAAGATGTACTTGCAAGCCGGGCTTGCTATCAGGCTAGAAACAAGGACACGTCCAGTCTACGAATGAGTGGGGAACAATGCATTCGGGAACTCAGCCTACAGCCGCAAATCGAAACTTCAAAGCCATGTGCCCCGAGACCTATCATGCAGTTTCGCCAAGAAGCCATCCCACAGCATCGAAAAGACGATCGGCCTCATCTGCCTAGAAAGCCGAGGGATCCGGTAGAATCATATCAGATTCAAAGATATCTGAAGTAAGATGTATGTTGGGCTTGACGGCTCTGGGTGCTGCGACTGACGAGATATCCCAGCTTTAGTCTCGAAATCGTAAAGCAGTCAACCGCACCTAGTGATGGTGTCCAGCTGCTGAAGCACTGCATAAGTGGTTGCGCCAGCAACATGAATCTGACTGATGCCTTCACGCGTTCCCGCACCGGACCCCCAACCCCACACGACGCGGTTTAGGGATTAGGGGACACTAACCCCGGAACCCCAACTCCGAACCTTGGACCCGAATCGAAACTACAGCGGCTCGTAACCCGAAGCCGCAAAGACCAAACGCTAGGGTTTAGGATTATAGGGTTTAGGGGTTCAGGGTCCAACCCCAAAGGGCCTTCAGTGCCGAGTTCGTGAGCATGAGGCGCAGCTGCTTCTCCAGGGTTACTGCAAGCCACTGCTGCAGGGCACGGGTCATGAAGCAGTCCGCCTCTCAAACGGCCGTGGATTTGGGGATCAGCGTGTACAACCCTAAACACTAATATCCTAAAGCCCTAGACCCCTAAAGCCATAGGCCCTAAACCCCCGAACCCCGACCCCTAACGGCCTAAGGCCTAAGGGCACCAACAACTTAAAGCCAGTGTCTCCTGAAACACAGAAGGGCAGCTTCTGAAAAATCTTTGAAGGCCCGGTACTTTCTCAAATTCCCACCCTGGGCCTTGAAGAGGTTGAGACCACAGCCCAGCACTTCGAGGAGTGGTGCTTGCTCTTCGTGGACGGTGATGGCATCCTAGCACGTCGAGTCCGGGCATCCATCATCGCACAGTTGAAAGACAGGTTGAGGTATGCCAGCTAATGCCAACTCTCAGAGGAATAGCGCTTGTTACATGACAACTCTTTCCTCTTTCGCAGTATCTGGACGGAAAAACCTCAAACTCACAGCCCAAGATCGGACCCCCAGACTGCAGCATTTCCACCCCCGCTCACACCCTCCGACCCCCAGCATTGTCAAACCACTACAACCGTCCTGGAGCCAACTGCCCTGCAAACCCCGCCATGCCCGGATGGCAGCGTCTTCCCCATAGGCCAGATCCTGAAAAGCAGGCTGTTGGGAGGATGTTGACCTGAACCCTAAACCCTAAACCCTAAACCCTAAACCCTGAACCCTGAACCCTGAACCCTGAACCCTGAACCCTAAACCCTAAACCGGGGGCTTCGAGCCAAATTCTGGGGATCGGAGTGTATGAAATGGGCCTTGCAGTCTGGGGCTTGGACCCACTCCTGATGAGTCGATTTGGATGTGTCTTGGCCACGAGTGGGTCAAGGATTTGCAGCATTCTAATGTAGGGGCCTTACTTGAAGGCCCAGGGGACTTAGTAAGTAGGTTATAAGTAGAGTTCTAAGTACCCTGAATGGAGTTACCCTAATTGTAACCTTACTTATAACCGACTTACTCTAAGTCCCCTGGGCCTCTAAGTAATAATTAGAAGAGGGTCTTGGGGCCCTTTATACTATACTTAGAATGAGGAACCCCCAAAATAATGTAGTTAACTATTTAGGCCCCTATACTAGTATGTCTCAAGCCCACAACCTCTTCAGGCCTTAGCCTCCCAAACCCAGAACCCAGCCTAAACCCTAAACCCTGGCCCTAAACCCTAAACCGACCCAATCCTCGCGCAGCAGCTGCGCGGCCCTGGGTGGCAGCAGCAGCGTCACCTCGCAGCCGCTGCAGCCTCGCAAGCTCTTCGGTACGGTTTAGGGTTTAGGGTTTAGGGTTTAGGATTTAGGGTTTAGGGTTTAGGGTTTTTTTTTTAGACGACCCTTTTTCCGTCCCGCAGGGTTTAGGGTTTAGGGGAGCCGGATCTGGGAGTTCCGGCTGTAAGCTTCAGCCCAAAATTCAGGATGTCGGGTTTGGGGGTTGAGGACGAGGCATAGCGGGTGAGAGGCTTAGGTACCCAGGCTGGAGGACATGACGAGTCTCCAGGCTGTGAACTGCAGGTTACGACCCTCGCCGGAAGGAACGATCACAATCTTGATGAGGCCAAGACTACGCCGGGCCTTTGCAATGTCGATCGGCTATCGAGAACAATTAAAGTCGGGTGGAAGACTTATTTGTAGTGGTCGTGGTGGTGATGGTGGTAGTAGTAGTGGGGCGCTAGTACTAGTACTAGTACTAGTACTAGTACTAGTACTAGTAGTAGTAATACTAGTAGTAGTAATACTCGTACTAGTTGTAGTAGTAGTAGTAGCAGCAGTAGTAGTAGTAGTAGTAGTAGCAGTAGTAGTAGCAGCAGCAGCAGCAGCAGCGGCAGAAGCAGCAGTAGTAGTAGTAGTAGCAGCAGCAGCAGCAGCAGTAGCAGTAGCAGGAAGTAGCAGCAGCAGCACCAGAGCATTAGCAGGTGCAGTAGCACTAGCATCAGTAGCAGTAGTAGTAGTAATAATAATAATAATCATAATAGTAGTAGTAGTAGTAGCAGTAGCAGCAGCAGCAGCAGCAGCAGGAGTAGCAAGAGTAGCAGTTTTTGTAATAGTAGGAGGTGCTGCCGCTGCAGGGCAGCAGCAGAAGCAGCAGAAGCTACTGGTGCTGTTGTGGATGATGGTGTTGTTGCTGCTACTGTTGCTGTTTTTGTTTTTGTTGCCGTTGCTGTCCTGCTACTCTCGACCCTGATCGCATTGCTGCCATTGCTGCTGCGATCATATTTCAGGAGCCTTGCTGTGGATAGATGGCACCAGGTCAACCGCAGTCTGCTTCAAACCCCCCAAGTTGAGCAACAAAAACTCTGAACCCTCGAAGGCCTCCGGGGTCTGCCCAAGCCAGGTTCCTGCGCCCGCGCGAGGGCGATAGGCCCTTCCTGAGACAAACTTGGAATGCTTATATATATATATATTATATATATATATAATATGTGTGTATATATATATATTTATTTATTTATTTATTTATTTATTTATATAGATAGATAGATAGATAGACTAATAGATAGATAGATAGATAGACAGACAGATAGATAGATAGACAGGGTTACCGTTCTCTGGAAGAGCAGGGTTGGCAGTCCCTAGTGGATGCCGGGGCTTTAATTCCAAGGCCCTACGAGGTGCAGACAAAGGTGGGGAGTCGGAGGCTGTGGTTGAACGAGCTGGGCCAAGAGTTCCGGATCTAAGCACTGCTCCGATCATGCTGTCGAGGTCCAAAGGAAGTTGATTGCTATGGAAGTCAGTCTTCAGAGACGTTTGTACAGCTTTTTTTGTCCATGTTCCAGGCACTCGAAGTGTTTAGGTATAGGTTTGTTTTTGCCGCGGAGGCGACGGGACGCAGGGCGCAGGACGCGGGGAAAGGGCGTGCGTAAGATACATTATATGAAGAACCGGAATCTCCGAATGAGGGGGCGTGCTTAAAATCTGTGATGAACCGAAATCGCCAAATGAGGGGGCATGTTTCAGTTATATGATGAACCGAAATCGCCAGAGGGGGGGGGGTGTTTCAGACCTATGATCCCCCGGAATCGCCACGTGTGGGCGCGTGTTGAAGATGCAGGATGAGCCGAAATATCCAAACGAGGGGGCGGCTAAGATCTATCATGAAACGGAATCGCCAAATGAGGGGGCGCGTTCCAGATATTTGACCTATGATATAGATATAGAAAGATATAGAAATAGACCAATATATATATATATATATATACATATACATATATATATATATACAAGTTGATGATGAACCAGGATCGTTGCTGTTCCTTTGCTGTTGGTGGGTGTAGTTGGTGGTGTTGCTGCTGCTGCCGGTGTTGTTGCGCGCAGCGGCCGTGGGCCGCCGGGCCGCTTACCGCATAGCAGGGGACGCGGAGGCAGGAGGACGCACGAGAATTAGCCCCTGTGGAGTCTTGTCAGTACAGCTACGATGCACAAGAAGAGATGCTTTGACGGTCTTACGCCTCAGCAAATTGAGTACGTTCGATACTGCTCCGGCCATCGACACAACATTGCAAAAGCCATGCCACGGTGATGTCGTGCTGCTGTCAGCCAGCCGCAATGCCTTCAGTCTCAACACTCGACCGACTGGACTCTACTTATCAGTGGCATAGAACAACTTTACCAGACCGACTGCTACTGCTACTGTTACTGCTACTGACTGCTACTGCTCCTGCTCCTGTTCCTGCCGCTGCTGCCGCTGCAGCTGCTGCAGCTGCCGTTACTACGACGCCGACGACGACCTCTACGACACCAGCAGTAGCAGTTGGGTACTGCCCCCATACAGTAACAGTCTGTAATAGGGCTACTATTAAGGGCCTAATATTTCCATAATATAAATATTATCCAGCTGTTACTGAATGGGGGCAGTACCCAAAGTAGCAGCAACACTGCTGGCAGTCAGCCGGGTCCGTGCCTGCCAGAGCTCGCAGAGGCTGGGAAGGCTGCCGAGGCTTCCAGGGTAATGCCAAGGCATCAGGATCACCAGAACTTTTCCGATCTGGCTGCCATACCTCTTGGACTCGGATTGTGTGTTCTTTAAGCGCCTCTTTTGTAATAACACACATGGAAATGGCAGTAATACTAATAACAATAGTCACGTAATTGTGTAAAATGATCACAATCACAATAATTACAAGCATAACACCTAAACCCTAAATTAAAAAATCCTAAACCCTAAACCCCAAATATTAAAAAAAATGCCTCAGAACCCAAAAATCTCGGGTTTTGAGAGCCTCTTGAAGTCGGCGATCCGCTCCGGAAGCTGAGGAGGAGAGCGGTGCAGGTTCACGCAGAGGCTGCAAGTCCTCTTGGGGCTTTAGGGCTTTAAGGGTTTAGGGGTTCAGGGTTTCGGGTTTAGGGGTTTAGGGCTTTAAGGCTTTAGGGCTTTAAGGGTTTAGGGCTGTAAGGGTTTAGGGGTTCAGGGTTTAGGGGTTTAGGGTTGATGCACAGTTTAGGGTTCAGGGTTTTTGGGTTGAGGGTTTACGGGTTTAGGGTCTAGGTTTTGCAAGGGGTTTAGGAGTTTAGGGGTATAGGCTGGGCTTTGAAGCAACCAGGGAGAAAAAAGTATAAACCGTTATGTAATCATGGTTCCTTTCAAGAACAGGTCCCAAACAAGTACTAAAGTATGTAGGGGCGTTGGGGCGTTGGGGTTTTGGATTTTTTTGCGTGTCTGGGGTTTGGGATTTTCCCGGGATTTGGGGATTTGGATCCAAGGCTCTGGGGCCTTTACTGCGCAGGGCTGCAGAGCTTCAAATGAATAATTTTCAAAATTAGGCTCCCTTTTGGGGTCCTTTTTATAAGGGTGCCGTAGTATATTGGGGACCTACAAAGAGGCCCTAGTTTAGAGTACTCCCAAATGTTGGAGGGGCGCTCGGGGTGCAGGAGTTGGGGTGTGGGTCGCAGGTGTCGAGCTCAGGTCACGGCCTATTGTCGATCTTATTCCAACCCATCTTCAGACTGCTGACTTTAGGGTTTAGGGCCTTAGGCCTTGGGGTTTAGGGTCTAGTTTTCGCTACCCTGATCTCTTGTGTACAGTGTCTTGGGAATGAATCACTTGGCCTAGCAGGATCAAGACTCAAGTGACCCCCGGATGCCCCACAATGCACGAGAGAGCAGCTCCAGACATAGGTCTGCCGAGGATTCAGCCCGCGGTCGTGGCCTGAGACTGGGATTCTCCGGACTCCGGGGTTTTGACACATCAAGAGACTAGAGCCTTCTAGAACACTAGACTGACCTCTCAGATGCCGCACCGAAACGCAGAATAACCAGAACGATTAAGACCGCAAACGTTATCTCAACTCGACGTGCAGCTTCATGGCATCGTCTTCATTTTGAAGAACTTGACATGTCATAGTCCCTGAACCGCCTCCAGCCCCTGAGCCGAACGCCAAACAACGAAAGCTCGGACGATTTCTCCAAGCAGCAGAACTCTTCCAGCGCGCCCACCACCTCGCCAACCGCATCCCGGGGTGAGCAGCTGAGCATGTGGGTCGCCGGGCCAGCGTTCTCCGGGCCATAGATGGAGTCCTAGGCTGTGGCTGAGTCATCAGCTGCTAAAACGCTAAAAGAGAAGTGCAGCCGAAGTTTCCGGCTGGCTCTACGCCCTCTTCAGGCGAGAAAACGTTGAGCATAGAATTCGGACTTTGGGGTTGGTTCCAGGATTTTTACTTCGGGTTTCAGGCTGAGGAGAGGCAACCTGCGAACTGGATTTGAGCTCCGGGCACGAACTCTGAAGGGCCTTGCAGGCTAATCGCTTTCCTGGTCGAAAACCTGATGAACGATTCGTCAGAGGTCGAAGAGTCTCGGAGACTGGTCCGAACAGGAATGCCCTCTCTAATGCCCTGGGAAGTGCCACAGGCCAGAACAGATCCTCCAAGGTGTTCACTCTGGAGGCCCTGCAAAGAAAAAGAGGTAATGCCAGGTCTCCACATACGCAGACCCCTGCAGGCCATCTCGTGGGCAAGTCACCATCCTAAGCGCCAGAAGGCAGAGAAGAGGACCGAGCTGCTCAGAATTCCGCCTTTAGGGTGGTAGAGTTTGGGTGTGGGAGACATGTTTGCAGATGCTGCATGAGATACGAACATCCTGCTGCAGCTGCCTATTACAGGATTAACCCGTGCTTGTTCCTCGAGCCACATTCAGCCCAAAAGGCCAGCCAATGCTTAAGCCAATGTCCCCAAACCTGTACAGGTCACCGTATAGCTAAGTTGGAAAGCATATTATTAAGACACAAAGCCCCGCAAAGTCACTGCAAGCTCTTCTGCAATCTCTGAGCTCCATGCACAACCTCAAAGGACTCGAAGGCCTGAACACTCGATGCAAACCTCAACCCTTCCAAAAACCCTCTGGCGGTCTGAAGGCCTGGTAGAAGTTTCTGAAAATAGGGGACCCTAATACAGTACCCTAAATAACAGGATCCTTATTAGAAGGACCCCAAAATAAGGTACCCCTAATTCTCGGAAACTCCCTGGCTAAACCCTAAACCCTAAACCCTAAACCCTGGTAGAAGCTTCAAGCCAAGCAGCTCCGTCCTCTCCTTGGCCACGCAGCTGGCAGCCTCCTCCAGGCTCGCCTTCGGCGGCTTCATGCTCAAACTAAGGTTTAGGGTTTAGGGTTTAGGGGTTCAGGGGGTTTAGGGTTTAGGGTTTAGGAGTTCAGGGGGTTTAGGGTTTAGGGTTTAGGGTTTGCCAACAATAATCAGAACAATACCAATCCTAGTGATGGCAATGAGTTGTCGCGCTTCTCCTTATTATTCTTCTTGTTGCTGCTGCAGGTGCTGGTGCGGGTGTTGGTGCTATTGCTGTTGCTGCTAGTGGTGACGCAAGTAGCCGTCGTCGTCGATGAATTTGTCTGGTGAACCGATTCGAGCCTCACGTTGTAGGAGTTGTAGCAGTGGCAGTCGCTCTGGATCTACACTCTGCTCTCCAACCAAGGAGCCTCCATACCGAGACCTGCGTGCAAGACCAACTCCAAGAACTGAGCTGAGAGGTGGTGGATGCTCACGCCGCGCAGGCTGTGGCCTCTCATGGACTGCGGTAGGGATGGGCCATCTTCCACGTCGTAAAAGATACCCCTTTGTGACATCTTGTTGAAGGTTTAATCATTTCGGGGTCGAATCAGGGCAGGTATGACAAAATCTACTGGGCGAGAGTCTGACAGGCTCGGACCAGGGCTTGAGGCTTCAGGTCTTTAACGATTTCCTGGCTCTTTACATTCTCCCGGGAGCAGCAGCGCAACACTGGCATTCGAGGTGTTTGGGTATGTGAAATGCTGCGACTGCGGTGCCAGTGGCACCGAAGGTTGTAAGAGAGTTGGTGCGTTATTACGCATGTGTGTACCTTTGTCGCGCTGCATGACACAGGGTGCACAAAACAAAAGCCTTTTTCGTGTCCGTCCTGCCCCCCCCTCCCCACATCCCACTCCAGCTGAAACAGATGCAAAGCTCGAGACAAAACAGAAACGGATGAAAATAAAGCGACCTAAAGGAAGCTACTGAGTGTGCCACGCTGCGAATGCACGTGCGATCTCATGTCAGCCCTCAAACAAACAGCATCGACCAAGTCTTGTTTGTTTGGTTCCTGCTGAGGCCATTTTTCTTTCTAGTTTTGCACAACTTGAGACAGACGACATGTGTAAATGTGTAGATATTTGTATATCAATGCAAAATTACATGAACCATGATAGATACAAATCTTCCCATTCCATCGGCAGAAATCTCATGTTGCAGCAGCCCCTAAGACCCTAACCGTGAGACCTTGCAGTCTACACCCTTAAAGCTCCATATATGACGCTGAAACCCTAAATCCTACAAGTAAAACTTGCAGTTTGAGGTCTACCGCCCCATACTGCAATGTACCCCCGACGCCATATTCTGATTGTTGATCATTATCTCTATTGTACTCCCCGGTTCCAATGAAAGGACCCTAAATTTCCGTCCAAGGCCCAACATCTGCCAAGACATCTGTAAGACATGCACTAGAAGATCTTTACTCGTGCGTGGGAGGACATTTTGTGAGAAAGGACAGTCTCACGGTGGCAATGCAAGAAAAACAACTGCGATGTGAATAGCAGCAAACATAACAAGGCGCTTCACAGCACCGGCCTGTCGACATCTACTAGGCACGAAGCACTGCTCTGCCTATGCTGGGATCGAGATGTCGCAGCTGCTGCGTCAAGGCACCTTACACGCACATGGATGAGAAACTTAAGCAATGGCGTAGTATGCAGCACATGTTCAGCAGAAGTAATCCGATCGCTGAGCTTGTAAGACTCTGTCATGTGCGCATAGCTTTCACGGTGTCGAGGCCGAAAGTGACCGGTCTCACAAGACAATGTTGATGAACGGGCTGATGCCGGGAGATCTGCACGTCTTCTCTTGATATTGTCTCCAAAAGCCCAATTGCCCTGAACCCTCACCCTTGCACCTGATACAGCCTTTCGGCCCCACACCCCAAACATCTCGAAATGCCGTCACGGAGGAACAAGAACCACAAAAAGCAGCACCGGGCACCTTCGAGCTCAAAGCTGCGGGCTTCGCTGGCTTCGAACTCGGCAGACAAGGCTTCCAACCTGCGAGATGCATGTGTTGCTCTCGAAAGTTTAGGGTTTAGGGTTTAGGTAAACAACCCAAAAAGCTCGTCAAAAGCCAACGGGACACACTCCCACCAATTTCAAAGCCACAGATTGCCCTTGGCCCCTGGCTGTCCCTCTTGCGCGGCGTACCGCTGCTGTGCCAGGGCCACATCTGCCTCTCCGAGTCTGCACAGCCATAAACCCTAAACCCCTACCCAAACCCCCAAAAGTAGGTAAAATATTGGCCCAAGACCCATAAAAGGCTATTATTTTGCATACTTGTGTAAACCCTAAACCCTCAACTCTAAGGACGGCAAAGCCAAAGCTTGGGGCTGGGGGCTTGGTGCGGAAATCTTGGTCTCCGAGGTCCGCCGGAAGTAGGTCGTTTGCTGTTTAGCGAGGAATGCTTGCGAGGTCGCGGAGGATTTTGGATTCAGATAGTCCGCGTAGGGTCAGAGTTGGTTCGACTCATGTGCCTCAGACCTAGACAAAGCGGAAAGTGCAAACAAATTGTCAATCAGCCAGGGTCATAACAGTTGGAATAATCATGCCAAACCTGACACTGTCGCAATCGGCAAGCACCTAGCAAAGCAACATGCAACCACAAGTTTATCCTCGAAAGCTGGTCATGATCGCAAACACTACCCACAGAAGCTGTCATGCTCATCAGATGTACAATGCACATGTTTTCATCATCGTCACAACAAGCAGTCAACCATGACCAGCAGATAAATAGCCTGGCCGAGACAGAGGCAACAGCTCTCTGCTGGAATTAAACATTTGTCCCGATATTGCAGTCCCTACCCAGCCATATGGGAGTTTCCGAAAATTAGGGGTACCTTATTTTGGGTCCTTATATTAAGGATCCTACTATTTAGGGTACTATATTATTAGGGTCCCTTATTCTCGGAAACCCCCATATCTGAAACCAGAGCTGCCAGCGCAGCATACCTAACAAAACAGCCGGCCTGAGCTGCAGCACAAGCCGCCTCCGTCCTGTTTCGCATTAACTCGAATAAAACCCCTTAAAGCGCAGACCCACGCCGGCAAGCAAACAAAGCTAACGTGGACAAAGAGCGAAGGGAGTGAACGGTCAAATCAACGCGCACACACACACACACACAAATACACCAATTCCGCTTCAAAGAACAGTCTCAAGCTCTGTTTGATAAACCGCTGATGGACCAACGAAACTACAAGTCAAATCGTCGACTGCAAGACACAAGCACAAGCTGCCAGTTGCTTGCATTGCTGTTGCATCGTAGAGCTGCTATGTGACCATGCCCTCAGGCTTCCATGCAAAACCCCTACCTGTAGCCCTGCTGCGAAACCATCAACGGATACAGAAGCCGGCGATCAGAAACCTAAACCCTAAACCCTAAACCCTCAACCCTCAACCCTAAACCCTAAACCCTAAACCTAAATTCAGGATTTCTGACTCCCAGGGGGGTCCGTCTCAATGCTGCCGTCGTCTCCTCGAGTTCCAGCTCGACCGCGCGAGCCTCGCCGCTTTTGGCTCCGCAGGCCGGGGTCGAACGGTTTAGGGTTTAGGGTTTATGGAACACTCACTGAGACTCTTGACTGTAGCCGTTAATACCATGCCGATATGAAAACAATGAGACTAAAGTAAGTATAAGAAGATCAGTCATAAGTAAATGGTACGAGCAATATGAATAATGCAACATCAAATCAACAACACCATGCACTGTGGCGTCCTTGAGTGATCCCCGTTTACCTCGTGCGGCACGCCTGCTCGACACTTTGTCGTTGGACCGCTTGTGCTGCCAAAGATCGCTGGTGAGCCTCGGTCCCCGTCACACATCGATCTGCTGGGTATGGGGCTCTAACGAGTGAGGGGGGGAGGCGGGGCAACAGTTACTGTAGGTGCGCTCAGATTCAGGATGCTAGGGTCCCGTGTGCTCTGAATCTCCCAAGCAGACAGGATTGCCTCTCAGCTCCTTCAGAACGCATCGCTCCGGCAGTCGTGTTGATGCCTATTGCTCTGGCTAAGCATGTAGCTACCTGTCTGCCGAGACATACATGTACCACGTGTACATCCGCGTAAAATGAACCGTTCCAGCTCTTGCTCTGTGCGCACGTACGTGTTTCTCCCAATCTGTCTTTGTACATGCCCACGTATGTTGATTCAATTACTTGTTTACACACACACACACACAGACAGGTCTTTGTGTGCGTACATGTGCTTCCCCCCGTGTTGATCCGGGCTTGGTTCGCTTGCACAGCAACAGATTTAAAAAAAGAAGGAGGAGTAGCAAGAGTAGGGGCAGGAGATAACCTGTAACACTCCACCTCCCCAACCTCAGAACCCTAAATCCGGAAATCCTCAGTCCTACACCCTAACCTCCTAGCTAACCCTTACACTGCGAGGCTAAAACCCTCAACTCCTCTACCCTAAACCCCCAAATTGCCAGAGCCCCCATTTAGGTCCCCGGCCGTGGCCAACTCGTCGCTCATCTTCGCCATAGCTCTCGCCTCGCTCAGGCCGTCGTCCTCCTGGGAGTGGCTGCGGGCTGGCTCGGGGCGAATAGGGTTTTTTTCTAAATGCACTAGCCCTTTCTCCCGCACGAGGTCGAAGGCTCGCTCAGTTCGAATAGGGTTTAGGGTTTAGGGTTTAGGGGTTTAGGGCTTAGATGAGAGTTTAGGGTTGAACCTAAGATGAAATATTTTGGAGCATAGAATGGAATATGATATAACAGGTTCCCTGAGCAGCATCTAGTGGTTGTACCCTTTATGGATTGTAATCGAACAAGATATCATACAGTATCGAATAGTATGATAACATAGCATTCTGGCTTCCTAGGGCTTCCAGGCTATAGGCCTCAGAGTACAGGGAGTTGGGGTTCAGGGCAGCTTCGAATGTGAGTGAGTTTCGCGGTCTTGAAGACTCGGGCTTTTGCGAGGTGAGCTCAATGCAAGCACCCTGTGTTTGTTTCGATTGGCATTGCTACTTGTCCTACCCTGAAACCCGAAACCTTGACATTGACCTTCTAAACACCCAAATTCCTGAAACCGTAAATCCCTAAACCCCAAAATCCCTGAACTCTACTCCCGAAACCCTAAACCCCTGAACCCTAAACCGCCTGAGAGCCCGGCAAAGCGTCGCCGCAGCTCTGCGAGCTCTGCACTGGCCTGGGCAGCCATCTCAGCCTGCTCAGATCAAGTCTGCGGTTTAGGATCGTTTAGGGATAGCTCTGCTTCAGGGTTTAGGGTTTAGGGATAATAAGCCCTTAATAGGCTTTCGGGTTTTAAGTCTCAAGGTTTGTGGTTTAAGGCTCAGTGTTTAGGGTCGGATCTCGCTCTGCTTAGCGCACCTTTTTGCCGGCTTAGAGCTTTGCTGTTGGCTTGCACGCGCGCTGAGAGCCCGTGTTTGGAGAAGTACAGACTACGATGCACACAGGCACTATTTCATGTGCTGAGAAAGACTTTACAATACATGGTGTGCCGAGCGACAAGCCGAGTGAACGTTGCTCCAGAACAACATGTGCTTTAAACCACTGAATGTGCTAAGGTGCGTCGCTCTGACGCTGCTGCTGCTGATGATGAACACTATCACTATCAGACTATCAGCCACTAGTAGCAGCAGCAGCAGCAGCAGTAGCAGTAGTAGCAGCAGCAGTAATTAGCAGTAGTAGCAGCAGCAATAATTAGTAGTAGAAGCAGTAGCAGTAGCAGTAGCAGTAGCAGTGGCAGCGGCAGCGGCAGTAGCGGACTGCTGCCTCGCTGTGCGCGTGCTCCTGCGACGCAGCTTGGAGCTGCCGGGCCTTTTTGGCACGTGGTGGCGTTGACAAGGCGGGAGTGAAGACATGGGGACTCTGGGTTTTGGATTTATAGGGCGTTCGGCTGTAGGACTTTAGGATTCGGTCTTGCTTCTCCTCTGGTATGTCGAAGATAAGACAGCCGCTGGCTGCTCAAAGTAGGCCGAATCATGAACACAGCTACATACTATGCGCACGACGTTCATGATCCGCAGCAGTGTGTGTTGGTGTTCTAAGCTGCAGGTAGCCTTTCCTTGACGTACCCCTCTGAGTGGGAGGCTGCTGCAAGAGATTGCAAGAAGGACCCCACCACAAACAAGAACCCTCATGGCCGACTTCGCGTATCTTCATGAACGAATGTCCGAGCAGCCTCGATCTCTGCAGCGTTCATCGCTTCCTGGCGGATGCATTGTCATGCTTGGCATTTCCTGTGGCAACACCTACATCCGTTTCACTGGCTCACGAGCATTATTGGCAGGGATGTCCGAACACTATGATAAATACCTATATAGTCTCCATTGTCGTTCCTTTTGGGGGTTCCCTTATAGGATCCTAAGTATATAACCAAAAAAAGGAACTACAATGGAGACCACAGGTATAATGCTCCTCAGCCAGGCTCATCCCCTAAGACTTTGACTTCCGTTTAAGGTCGCTCCTCGTGCTCGGTGGTCTTTGCAGCCATGCGGGCCTTGAGACTCGCAAGCTCCTGCAGGAACAGCCAGCACTGCCACGACGACTAACCTAGGGGCCTTAATCATTAGAAGAGGGTTTTGGGGTATATTCTACTATAGCTCTAGTAAGGAACCACCAAAATAGTATAGGTACAGTACTTATTCAGGCCCCTATAGCACCTCACGGGCTTCTGACCCTGTCCTTGCGCTTGCCATTGAGCTGCTCTGCTAACTCGGAGTTGCGACGCTCGTAGCCTCTCAGCTGTTTGCCAAATTTCGGTGGTTCTGGAAAAAGAGTGCCCAGCCCGTCTTCCCCGGACATCGTCAGTTGTGACAGTCTCCAAGTGACCCAACCAGGACTCCCAAGCTAGCCGTCGGGAACCTCCGCAGCTAGTAATTCTGGATGCGCTGCTGCAAGACTTGAGGGTGCGGGCGATGCGTGGCGTGCTAATTAATGACTGCTGTAATCAACTTTCTGCTACTTCACCGTGCACATGCAGAAACGCTCAGCGCAAAGTTCTGGAAATGTCCCAGACACCCATTCCAGAACTCAAAAGTTAACACCGTCGGGCCTGCCTTCAGTGAACTGCTCCGCGAGCTCCAACCGTTCGCTAAGGCTGCGGGCCTCCTGAGCAGAAGTTGGCGATTGTCCAAGCATCCCAGAGCAGCGTCATGTTGAAATCGGGGTCTCCTCCTCCAGATTGCCGACCAATTTGGCTGCTTGCTCCGCCTGCATGATAAACATGCTGTCGAGCTCCGGAAAACTTTCCCATTCCGCCCACCTTCCATCGCGCGCGTTCCGAGAACCTTCGTATCTCAGTTCGAGGAAACCCGCCGTCACCTCCCTAGTAACCGGATAACCTTCCTGACAGTGGCCCTGAAGAAAACACGCGAGCGAAGATGACAAGCACAGCCCACACTCATGACGCCAACCATGACGACGACTAGAATCTTTCCTCCATGCAAGTACACAGTGGCCTCCTCCAAACGCGTGGACGCCTCCTCCTGCTGTATTGCACTGCGGAAGTTATGCGCATAAGCCGCATAAGTGACAACTTCAGTTTCATATGTTTCGGCTTGGGTTTCCTGAACACCGAATCGCAAGCCCCGCCGAAACCCGACACGACGGCTGAAGTTGTGGGTTTATGACCGAGTTTCGCCGTGCGCCGCAGTAAGTGATCCATTGGCACTAATGCGACATGCATGTTGAACATCAGTCTTCTGAACATGTTCGTCTTTGAATACGACTATCATGACGAACAGGCCTTTTGCGCAGGGCAAGATGTTTCATGCTATCTTTCGTACGTTTTAAGGTTGTCCATGGTAAAGATTACCTCCGTACCGATACCCCGACCCGAGGGGGTAGCTTCCGCATGGCGCGGATAGGGGGGTCATGAGCTTTAGGGCTTAGGGCTTAGGGGTTGAAGGGTTTGGGGTTTATAGGGCCTTCATGAGTCATGAGCTCAACGGTTTGCAAGCTGAGGTCTTCAGTCTCTGGATTTTTCCCCAAATGCGAGATCAGAGCTTCTCCTTACCATGGTTGGGAGAAGAACAGTGTTTCGCCTTGTCATCTTAAATCATATAGGGGCCTTAATAATTAGAATAGGGTTTTGGGGCCCATTGCACTATAATTATAGTAAGGAGCCCCCAAAATGGTATTGTTAGTTATTTAGGCCCCTACATTAATTAATTCGCAGAATGGAAGCTTGTGCCGTCACACTTCTGCTTCCTTTTCATAAAAATGATCTCCTGGAGTTGCTCAGCTCGCTTGGACTCGACTTGGAAGCGACCTGCAGGAGTCTCAGAGGGTGGTGGTGAGGCCTAATGTAGGGGCCTTAATAATTAGAATAGGGCTTTGGGGTATAGTATACTATATGTATATGAAGGACCCCCCCGAAAAATAGTAGAGGTAATTATTTAGGCTTCTATATTAGGCCTGTGCGCTGTGCATCATCGGACTGGGTACGCATTGTACGAAAGATAGAAGTGAAGGTCCGGGCTTTTGAAGGGTCGGGTGACTTTCGCAAATTTGTTGATATGTATATATATATATATATTTTTTTTCATGTATTTATTTATTTATATTTATATCTATATTTTCTGTGTGTGTGTGTAAAAAATAACTTCAGCCAGGCCATGTTGCTGTTTCCGCTTTGGCAAGGGGGGCGATGAGTGATTCTTGTAGTTAATGGCGGAGGATGAATGCCCTGAGTGCTTACGTCTTAAGGATGCGCTTGTTGAGCTCGGACTAGCAAGGTGCGACCAGAGATGATGTGATTCATACAGGTTGCAAAGTTAAACCCTTCCAAGCGGCGGAGTACACTCGCCTACAGTCTGCCTACAGTAGAAGCCAGAAAGTTGGAACATCATTATCCTGATGCCTTTAAGGTAAAGTGTAGGGGATCCCAGCAATAATCATCCCAAACTCATGTTCCAACTTTCTGGAGTTTACTGTATTCTGCTAAAACAACCGCAGTTGTGATTCATTGCAAGCCGGATGGCATCAAATCAAGCTCGTGTTTGTGTTTTGCAAACGTAAAGAGGACATCATACACCTGCATTACGCTGGTGAGCTTGCATCTTACACTCATATGCTGCAGATGGTACCAACTGAAGAGTGGAAATCCGAATCAAGCCCGCAAACCCTAAACCCTCAAAGCTGAAAGTACAAACCCAAACACAAAAAAACTGAGACCCGAAGACCCTAAACTTCTAAACCTCAAGCCCTACAAGCCCTCAATCCTACAATGTCTAAACCCGGGAGGGAGTCTTTCTAGCCCATTTGGCCCCGGGCTCGCGCAGAGCGCTTCGGCGCGACGCTCGGCCTCTGCCTCTACCAACCTGAGATTCTTCCGCATTTCTCGCTGCTGTATGGGTCCTATGGCCCTATGGCTGGTTTGGGGGTTAACTTAGAGCGTGGCTTTGGGGCATACTGTACTATATACTATATCTAGCATCGGGAACTCCCTAAACCCTAAACCCTAAACCCTAAAACCTAAACCCTAAACCCTAAACCCTAAACTCCGAGCCTGCTTGCTGGACTCTGCTAGACTGGTGTCTCGAACGACCCAACGGGCCAAAACCATGAATGTGTGACTCGAATGCACGAGGAATGAACCCAAAGAAGCCTCACGCCTCATCATGCTGTGGGCTTGAAGGGTTAGGTTTAGGGTAGCTTGGCTTTTGATGGAGTTTAGGGCTTTTGGTGCTTAAGCCCTAATCCCCTAAACCCTAAACCCTAAACCCTAAACCCTAATCCCCATCTCTCTCCTGCCTCGTCTGCAGCTCCGAGAGAGCCTCCTGCTGCTCATCGACCTCGGTCGCGAGCTGCAGGCTCCTGGGGCCATGATTTTTCAGAGCCTCGTAAGGCGGGGGTCTGTTGGTCTGACTCGTTTTTTTATGGCGCTTCGTTCGTTGCCGTACTAGGCGCATAACTGGCCATGGTTATCCTCACAACTTTCTGCTTTATCTTCATCACGGCATCACACTCCTGGTTGTGGCAGACACTGTCCGTCACTATCCGGACCTTTCCTGATACGTTGGCTGTGTTGGGTTGCTTCTTCTCTCACTGGTCTCATATCAAACCTCCCGAAGGTGCTGAGAATCCAAAGTTGTCATTCAAGTTTGGGAGGTTCTGCAGAGAACCATGAGGTCGCTAAAGGGGGACTGCTCTTTATAGAACCTCGTCTCCCTTCTTGAAGGGGTAGCACAAGGGGTCCTGGTGCATTCATCAAGGGACTACAGTAGCGTCCAGGGCGGAAAGCTCAGAAATAAGGCAGTCCTGCCCTCGCAGAGCCGTCGCTGAGCCTCCTGCTCCTCACTGCTGCATGACATGAACTGAAACAATCAAACCCTGAGCTCTTCACTCTTGCAGACCGCATGTGAACACCACCTAGTCAAGTTTTGCAAAAGCAATCTCGCAAACAACTGTCTGACCAAGTGGAGGAGGGAAGGTGGGCATGCAATGCATGGATAGCGTGGTGCGTCGCATCCCCGCACGGATCTGCGTGGTGGTGCATGACGGAGGTGCCCAGAGCCCCAAACTTCCCTGAACCCAGCATATACCAGCACCATGTTTGTGTAACGCCGGACCCTGCGAGCCTGCACCACATTCACAGCTGCCAGGTGTTGCAGTTCCATGGCTGCCTGGAACTCACAGTTGCTGCTTCACAGCCCGTGCTGCAAATACTGCTCATCTACTTATTACCACTTGAATAGCAAATGCATGTAAGACATGCCGGCTTCCGAAAATAGGGGACCCTAATATGGTACCCCAAATAATAGGATCCTTATTATAAGAACCCCCAAAATAAGGTACCCCTTATTTTTCGGAAACTCCCACATTAATCTTGAACCAGGCACAGCAAAGACCTTCCCCCCAATTGCACTCCTGACAGGAACTGGGCCTCGAGGTCTGCTGCCTGAGCCGTTGCCTGCCTGGCACAGAGAAGAACGGACGGTTGACTTTGGGAGTCTGGTGGCTGAGGCACTACGAGGCATCTTTCTGGGAGCACAAGGCACCTATCTGAGGGGAATGTGCGCATGCCAAGGAGTGCGATAGTTGAGACGGGGTGATACTAATGCTGATGACGACGATGACCATGACGATGAAAACGACGAGGACGAGGAGGAGGAGGAGGAGCAGGAAGAGGAGGAGGAGGAGGAGGATGTCGCTGCTGCTACAGAGGAAGAGTATGAGTGTGACGACGAAGGTGAAGATATGAGGATCAAGACGAATAAGATCATGAGAGGGATTGTAGTTTACAACAATAGCAGGACATCAGACATGATGATGTCATTCATGCCCATAGGCTAAGGATAGTTGCTGCATTGTTGAAGTTTCCAAGCCCCATACCCGTAAAGTTAACTTGTTTTCAAGCATGTCCAGGTATAGGCGAAAGAAAGACACTAAGCCCTCAACATCTCAACTCCACACCATCCAGAACCTTTAATGCCCTGCTCCGAGATGTCGCTTCTGCTAATTTCTATGCCTTGGGTGTTTGGAGTTTAGGGGTTTCGGGATGGGGTTCACAATTTCAGTACAGGTTGTGTCACAAACACTGCTGATGCTGACTGTACCAGCAGACTTCCTTTTCCGCGAGTGCCTACCAGTCAACTCGGCTATGGTTGGATACCTGTGGAGGTAGCGAGGCAAGGGAACGGGCAGCCATCGCTTGGAAGGTGAGTTGTGTCCGACAACTCTTGCTCCACTGCTGAATATAAAGCCAGAGCTGGGGTTCCCCGGTCGAGAAAGACAAACTAGAATGGTAGCTCCCGGAACAACACCCCAGTTCTGGTAAGGTGAAGATGACCTGTAGTGAGCTTTCACCCAGTCCGCTCAGCCAACATGCTACAGCCTGCTAGCTCGATGGAACTGCCAAAAGCGGACTGCAATTTTGCAGCACTCATGCTCACGCATGTTGGTACTTCTGCTGAAGGTCGATGATGCCGTTGATGACGTCATCCAACGCCTGCTTCAACTTTGGACCAACCGAACAATTGCGCAGGATCTCCTGCTTGTCCCCCTGCATGCATTCCTTTATGTCCTGCAGTCTGCGCAATGTCAAGCCGTCCGTGATGCCCATCTCTTGAAAGTCTTGCTCTGTCAGGACATGGAGGAAGGCGTGGCCAGAGATGTTGTTTTCCAACAACTTGAGAGCGCAGGAATCAAGATTCCAGCCATGCAGCGCGGCACTGAGCTTGTTTGCATCCCAAGTGTCCACACCCAAAGTGCGCGCCTTCAAAAACGGAAGCTGCTCCTCCACTTGCTTCAACACGGTCGCATGCGACATGATGGCTTGAATGTCCTCTGCCAGTTTCCGGTAGAAGGAGGAGATGTTGCAGCCCATGTGCTTGATGTCCCTGACGTTTTCCAGAATATCTTTAGTCTCTGCCTGGAGTTTGTCAAAGTCTGTGCGGCCACCAAAGTGCCACCATTTGATTGCCGGAATCAAAGAGCATGCCACTGTTCCGGCCATTGCATACCACCAGACATTGGGCGAGAGCAGAGCTCCGAACATGGTGACGAGAGCACCGATGCCAAAGCTGACATCCTTGGAGACTACGTCAGGATTAACGAATGCCACGGCTGTGTAAAGCCAGCAGAAGCTCTTGCCCAAGAAGTGACGCTTACGCCACTGCAACTCCTCCTTACTGATGCTCTGCTCGTACCCATCCTCCTGCCCCGCAAAGTCTTTCTCACAATCCTGCACTTCGCGGAGCAACTTCCTCAGGCCGCCGTCGAAAAGCTGCTCTTGCACCTTTGTCAGCGCCTCCTGCCCAAACTTGATGTCCTCCTCAGAGTATGTTGAATGTCCGAGGATGTCAACAATTCGCATGCCAAGCACATCCCGGACTTCCTCAGCTGTTTTCTGGACAAGTTTTAGCTTAGCTGGAAGGTGCTGTTGCAGATGCAACACTTTTCCCAGAACTCTCTGTGCGGTCTTGGTCAGGTTATCGGCCAGCTCGCTCTTGGAAGGATCGACCTCTTTGTAAAGTTCACTGACAAATTTGTAGGCCGCTTGCACTTGCCGATGTTGCAAGACAGGAAGGGTATTTCGAGCCGCCGGCATGATGGATGAGGCTGCCTTTGCCTCGGAAGAGACTTCCTGTGAGTCCGCCGCGATGATGGATGAGGCTGCTTTTGCCTCGGAAGAGACTTCCTGTGAGTCAGCAACGGTTGACATGCTGCCAAAAGACTCTACTCAACCACTGGCACCTACGCAGAAGCCTGCTCAGCAAACAAATGGCTACTGCACACCCCTGGCCTTTCTGCAGCTGCTGATTGCCAAGCTGCTAAGCTTCCAGGATAGCTTCATGTTATTATCAGTCATGCTTTCACAAAGCCATCCCCTCCAGCTTGTGATTGCTAAGCTTCCAGAAAAGCTTCAGCTGCCCTTAATAATTCCAATAGGGTTTTTGGGGCACATTATACTATAATTCTAATAAGGACCCCCAAAAATACTATAGGTATTTATTTAGTCTTCTCTTGCCCGCGCTTTGCTAGGGTCCAGGAAGTTAACTTTTAGCTCAGGTTGGGGTTAGTGGAAAAATCCTGACCATCAGGTTCACTGGCATCAAACAGCATAGCACAACGCTTCTTTTCCACGCTTTCATCGATGCATCTCATTGCGACGCCAAGACCCAGGACCTGAGCCGCACAAGGCATGCCAAAAATGTCCGGACCATGAAGCGCCCTCACGCATGCAGGCCAAAGAAGGCAGCTCTGTTGCTGTTTTGCATCAGGAAGCCGCGCGCTCCTGTCTCACAATTGTCAGTTTCTCGACCATGGTCTGAAGATCTATCTCTGAGACCTGCTCTGCACGAGGCTTGTAGCAGACCTGGAAGGACAGCCGAGGGTGCTTTGGCTTGGCCGGTAGAGGGCCTTTGGCCACCTTCAACTTCATGCCTTCCGGAGCAGTCGCAGCACACCCCAGCAAAATTTCCGCATGCTTTGCATGCTGAATGCAAAAATCTTCCGTCAAGTACAAATGCAAATGCATTTGCAAGGCTGAAGCGAAACAGACCACGTTCCCAGCCTTCATCTTCGACCGCAGCCACTCTCTGTCGCACATTCGAAGACCATGCAGGCGGCAAACCAGACCCATCGGCTCATACATGGCGTTGGCCAAGCTTTCAACCATTACAACCTGGGCATCCGGAGGCAACGCTGCGACACAATAACGCCTCCACACTGGCACCGCCGCGTGCCCTAGCTCGGTGAAGATGCGAAATTTCTCTGGAAGTGGCGGCGGTGGGGGAGCTGACTTCGCGGAGGCTAGGGGCTTGTACTTGTAGACCCCGCCCCTGCCGTCCATGTATGGGACTGGGAGACCTGGCGCCAAGCTCTTTGCATTCTTCAAATTCTTTTCAGCGAGCCCCTCCTGGTTTTCGATGGTCTGCTGTATTGTTCTGGGCTTCTTCCTTGGCTGCAAGTCCTAGCTTGATGGTCGATTATCGGATACATTCAGAAGTTCGTACTGGCAAATCTTACGCTTCTCTTGGGAGACATTGATTGCGCGCCCTGACTCAGCTAGAAACTGTTCACAAACCTGACTTGTTAGTGCAGGATGATGCACTTTAAAATAACATGTTGTAAATCTGAGAGGGACCACCAACCTCTGGAAACTGAACAAGCCTAGGGTCGCTTCTGCCTCCTGCACGTCATGCTCTTGGGGTCGGACAAGCTCATCCACATCTGCTACAGGCCGCTTCCTTGAGCTGCTGCTAGAAGCTTCTTCGGCTGCGGCTGCAGATTGCCTGGCCACTAAGACCGCCTCGTGGGCCTCAACCACAGGGCCCAAGGATCCAGTCTTGTCCGCCGACGCCACAAGTTTTGAGACCACCTGGCTATGCTTTTCCTTGAAAGACCGGAAAGTCTCAGCCTTGTCGGAAGAGACCGGCCGTCGACAAATCTTGTTCAAGCGAGGTTTCTCTGCATCCCTGTGGCCGCTCTCCTGCTCCAAAGACCTTCCCGAGCTTTTCTTCTCGCCAAACATTTCTCGGTAGGCGTTCTGGACCTTCAGAGCGTATTGTGAGCTGCGGTACCGTACATCCCGCTCACCGCTGGCGGTGATGCTCTGGATCAGCTCGCCTGGGTCGAAACTCTTGCCCAGTCTCCGACCGGTGAAGCACTGTGTATTGAGCTTCAACGACGCGTCCAGCGCTTCAGGACCAAGCGCACCAGACCTGTGCTTCAATTCAGTTAATTTGACTTCCCCCAAAAATCTTTCGACAGTCTGCGTGCCAGTTTGCATGGCGAGGCTGACGTTGATGCAGTGCAGCGCCAGGGGTCTGCTAGCACGCTGCCGTGGAGTAAGATCTTGCAACGCCAAAATCCACGCTGCGCTTGAGGCCCCAAATTGGTTTAGCATGGACTGTGCTCCAGCGACATGTTTGGTCTTTGAAGCAGCAGCGTTCTCATAGAAGTACTGGGCCCTCATAAAAAGACCGCTGGTTGGATCAGCGCCAGCTTCGGACGTGGATCCAACCAATTCCTTCCTGGGCATTCTGACGCAATCTTGTCCAAGCAATTTAAAATAGATGCGTGGAAAATACACAACATTGCTATTTCTTCAATCCTGGAGTCCACAGATCTGAATCCGAACATTGCTCGTGAGCAGCTATCGTCCTCAGAAGTTTTCGCCGCTGGTTCCAAGGGACAGCTTTGTCCAGCCGCAAGGCCGCGTATGCATTCACAAGCTCGTGATCAGGAAACTGAGTGTTCACAAAGGCTTTGACAAGCTTGTAAATGTCTCTACAGACCGGGTGAAGCCTGTCGTGACTGGCTGGCGGAATGCTGCAAGCTCGCTCCTTCCCCTGCTCCCAGTACTTGATGACTGGCATTTTCTTGATGGCCGACGCAACCTTCCCCGTTATGGTATCTTCCGCAGCTGTTTCATCCAGAATGGCCAGGTCATCAAACAAGACCTCCATAGTGTGCAAAAAGTCGGAGACCTGGCACGGGAAGTTAGGAGTGCGACTTGGTTTGTGGGCCTGGCACACCCGGCACCTGACAAGCTGCCACAAGTAACGCTCAAGACTCCGCACCCTGACCTGTGTTATTTTGTTCTCCTACGGTTCTGAACACGCAATCCTGGCCTCACCAGCCTTCATGTAAACCTCGGCATCGGCGGAATCGTCTCTGCGCAAGAATTTCTGGCAAACCAAAAAGCAGTCNNCTGCGCTTAAGACCTTGCTGTAGCTTTCCGGGCCTGTCAAAGACCTCAGCAAAGATCTTGCCCATTGCGCGTCTGTGCGATCTCCAACGCGGGACAACTCCCCCAAGAAGACCAGGACTTGAGGGAGCAGCAGAAAGATGCGATGCAGCGGCTCCGACAACGAGTCGAATCTTTGCATCGCAAAGCTGAAGTTTTTGATCGCCTTCCTGAAGTTGTCAGCTTCGCGCAACTGCGCCTGGACGAAGATCTTGCTGTACTTGGCGCTGTTCCTTACCAACGTGACGGAATTAGTAAAAATACTCGCCATTGCACAACTCACTCACGAGAAGCCCTAGACTGCAAGCTAATTAATGGGCAGACTGGTGGCTTCAGCATGCGCGCCAGAGATTGCTCTCCCGTGGTGAATTGCGCCAATAGATTGTCGCAGTAGTTCTGGTTGAGGCTGTCGAAGACCCCCTTCATGCAGCTGCGGACCCGATGCGCGCGATCACGGGTTGTGATCTTCATGTTGCCGAGCGTTTCGTTCCTGGGTTCGCTCAACAGGCACACTGCGAAGGCTACATCGCGACAGAAGAAGAACCGAAATTTAGCTGGGGATCTGTAGTATGGGCAGAGCGCCCTGCTCGCTCGGTCCTCCGTCGGCCACTCCGACGTTGATAATGGCCTGTTTTGCTGCACATCATGATGCACGTTAGCTTTGGGTTGCAGATTCAACATTTCCAAATATTGCTGAAACGCGTGCTGCTCCACTTCTGGCCTTGAGATGGTTCCAAAGGTCTGCATCCAATCTCGTGATCCGACCATTTCTTCTGTGGCAAGCCTGTTTCAGTATGTGCTCCACAGTCGCTGCAGAAGCTCGCGGGCCAGCATCAGACTGCACCCTTGCAGTACCTAACAAGCACTCATATAGACCCAATGGAGGAAGGTGACTGTTCCTCAGGGAACTATAGGCGAAGCGCCCCACCACCAACATGAGACCGTCCCTGACGTCGAACGCGATGCTGCCGGTGCTGGCGTGCTCGATCACAGCTTGGTCCTGCTCATACAAGGGCCTCGCCAGCGCGCAAACCATCTGGCAGCAAGTTTTCCTGCTAATGTCTGAGCCAGTTGGCAGGGGGCATGTCAGGGCCAGCCCGCGCACGTACTGCTCGAAGTCAGTGAATGTATCATGCCGAGAGACCACCAATCCAGCCAGGTAAAACTTTTCCAGTCGGGGAACTGTGTCTGTGGCTTGCGTATAAAGACCTTCGCTGCTGTCCGAAGCCAGTTGCGCTTTCATGGCAGCTACGGCCTCCAGGTGACTTTGGCTCCCCTCATGTTTTTTGAAGCTGGAAGGGGCCACTGTGTTTATCATGGAGACCCCGAGCCGTCCAAAACTTGAACCAAACTTTGGCGGCTCGTAATGTGAGCAGATCCAGCACCCCATAGACCACTTGCCGCCCCACGCACGGGGTTTGGTCACCAGCCATGTTTTCCAGCCGGCCCGGGGGTGCTGGAACTGGAACAGATTCTTCCAAGCAGCGCCGTCACTCTCAGGTTGGAACCCACGAGCTCCACGGCGTAACATGCCAGCAAAGCCCGCTTCGAACCTGCATCTTGTGCAGTTGGCCTGCGCTCCAGACTCTGCGCAGCGCTGCCAGTGCGTGTCGTCGTCCAGCCATTCTTCATCCAGAGGCTGCTGCGGCCCCCGTCTTGTACCAGAGACCGCGAGGCTCAGTGAACTGCTTGTCGACCACGCAGCAGGCTTGACAGCTGCCAGTTCCTGCACCGGACGGTCATCGTCGAGATCCATGCTGCAGATGCGGGCATGCTCAAAAGTCTGTACTCACACAGTGGATGGCATGCGCTGCTAATGAGTGCTGCCTTGGGTTTGTTACATTTCGGAGACCTCCTTGATTCCTGAATGAACGCCAGCTTTGATGCGAAGCAAGTTGCTAGTTTAGGACCCTACAGTCCTGGCCATATACGCCTTCAAAGCCATTCTCATGAGATCGAAACGCTGTTTAGCTTGCTGGCACCACCTTTGAACCCTCATTAATTCTGAAGTCAAACGTACTAGTGATAGGATGATGATTGAACCCGTATGCGCAATCAGATGGAGAACCGACCGAAGCTGCAGCGTCATCAAGTCATTTAGACAGACACGTTGGTTTCCGGCTGGCTTGGCTTCATTACAACGAGCAACACAAAATTGGGCTTTGCATGGTGGGCGGGGGGGGGGGGGGGGGNNGGGGGCTGCACCCTAGGTCTTGGAAATGGATTACATTCCGAGTCCTGGGCCCAGATTCGAGTGTAGTGAGTCTGAGAATAGTTGGACCACTGCTGATTGGTGTTTGTAGGCCTCGTATTTCCACGGAAGATGAAATATTCATGTGTGACTGCAGCCCTGGCTCCAGGTGACGGCTTATGCTTGTTGATCTGATAAGGTATAACGTGAGGCTTCTCAAGCCTGCTCAACTGCTCAACCCCGCCGAGAAGCCTTCAGGCCTGCTGCTTACACCTCTACTTGACAAATGTCTCATNNTTATGAGAGTAGTATAACTAATTAATAATAGTTCTGGCCTTGCTGCAGAAGTTAACCTCCTACAGCCAAATTAATTGAAAAATCCTTCCCTGACGCAGGACGCACGACCTGACTTGTTGCCGCAGGCCCCACCTGCACATGTCCATATCCCCGGCACCATCTGTAGGACAGTGCTCTCGGCAGAAGACCTTTGAACAATCTTCTGTCCGCGCCTAGTCAAGACCTGAGAACTGCAGCATAGACCGCAACCTTAGGCTGCCCTGCGCTTGGGCGGCGCCCTATGGCCTTTCTGCGACTGGTGAAACTCTTTCAGCGCTTTCAGACCGTGCGAACTATTCTTGAGCATCTCGCGCATGAACTTCACATCCCGTGGCAAGACCTCCACACCGCCCCTGTGCGATGCACTGGCTTGCAGCGCGGCCAAAGCTTCGACGGCGACATCCTGAAGAAGGAGGATTTGATTTGGACATGAAACGCCAGATCCGATGTGTTGCCCAAGCCCAGTCCTCCGCCTCAGACCACAACATGGCCAAAGCAGCTGAATCCAGGACGATCTCTTCGTGGCCAATGGTCTGCAGAGTCTGGACAACCATCTCTTCAAACCTGACCTTCTGGATGGCCCTCTTCTTGCAAGACTGCTCTGCCTTTATGGTCCCCTCAACCTTCCGCTTGTTCTTGCCCAAGACCTTCACTTGGTTGGAAGGTGTCTTCACTCGAATACGTCGGGCAATCTCCTGGCAGCCAGGAATCGTGAAGAGAAAATTGTTTGACCCGGCCCTTCAGCAATTTGAACTGAACCTGCAGATTTCCTGATTTACATGCCCAAGGAAAATGATGACGCGACCACGGTAAAAGCATCATCGTTGCCGTCACGCAGCTTATTAACTGTTTGGCCCCATGATCTCAAAAAACGATTTCAACCTCAAACCTGCACGATGGCATGCTCTTCCACATATG